AGGAAGGAAGGGAGGGAGCAGAGGAAGGAAGGAAGGAAGGAAGGGAGGGAGGAAGGAAGGAAGGAGGGAAGGAAGGGAAGAAAGGAGGGAGGAAGTTAGGATGGTTAATTAAATGACCTGCCTGGAAAAGTTTTGAGAATTGATAGGCAAATTAATGACTATGAATGTGAGAACATCCTAGAAATAATATCCCCTTAAATATAAAATAGATGGCATCACACTTGGTTTCAATAAATGCAAAGATTAGAGCAAGGAAGGTAGCAGACTTTTCTCTGCCCCAGTCCCCTATATTTAGACAGTCATTCCCTTATCCATTCAGTCAGTGTTTAATCAATATCTGCTATGTGTTGGGAAATGGGATAATTTGGGAAATAGGCAGACAGGTTCTCTCTTCATGAAACCTCGAGGTTAGGGGAAAACTGGCTCAAAAATGTAATTACCATGCTCACAGTGTTCCTGAGAAGTTTAGGGTGCTACACACTCAAGCTGTATTCTCTAATCTAGGGCAAAGATCTGGAAAATCTTCCTGGAAAAAGTGATACTTCAGTTGAAATCTGAAACCCAGAGGAATAATAAGATATTGCAGCTGAAAGAGAATGCATTATAGAAAGAGAAAACTATTAATGTGATGGCCCCTAAGACGCTGGCTGGCATGTTTGAGAAGCCAAACATAGCCGGTAGGGCTGGACAACCAGAAATCTGGCTGGGAAGCTGGCCCTTAGGGCTCAAGTGTCAGCCAGGGCCACAACCTCCAAGCCGCTGTGGCTATTCCTGGATTCTGGGGAGCCAGCGATGGGTTTATGCCATGGAGTGGTGCCATCACATTGTTTTGAGAGCTCATAGGAAGACAGGATAGAAGGTGGAAGTGGCAGATGCAAGACCATTTAGGAGACTATCACTGTGCTCCGCATGCGAGATGGCCGCACTGTGGGGACGGCGAGGAGCGACAGATGTGAGGGACACTTGGAAGGCAGAATTGGCAGGATTTTTAGAATGACTGGCTGTGAGTGAGGAATTAAGGACTGAAGGGGTTAAATGCTCACCAGGTGTATGGACTGAATGTCCAGGGTTAGAGTGGAGCCATCACACCTAGAAGTAGGACTTCAGGGATGCCTGGGTGGCTCAGTCGATAAACGTCCAACTTCAGCTCAGGTCATGATCTCACGGTTCATGGGTTCAAGCCCCACATTGGGCTCTGTGCTGACATCTCGGAGCCTGGAGCCTGCTTCAGATTCTGTGTCTCCTTCTCTCTCTGCCCCTCCCCCACTCACACTCTGTCTCTCAAAAGTGAATAAATGTTAAAAAAATTTTTTTAGAAGTAGGATTTCAGGGCAAAATCATGCAGTGTGGAGGGTCACTTCCTTGGGGATTTTTTTTTTTTTTTTGAGAGAGGGGCTGGGGGAAGTGCTCACAGCAGAGAGGAGAGAAAGAATCTCAAATCTCAAGCAGGCCCTATGCTCAGCGCAGAGACCCATGCTGGGCTCAATCCTGTGAGCAAAAATCAAGAGTCGAGGCTCAACTGACCAAGCCATCCAGGTACTCCCCTTTGGAAAATCTTTTAACACAATTTTACCTTTTAATATTTATATAGAATTGTAAATATATCCCTAGATATATTCATTTACCTTACCCCCATTATAACATAACAGTCTCAAAATAACAATACCAACACTACTATCATGTATAAAACCCCTGGGAACCTGTTTTCTGGTATTTGGACTACCCTCCATGTAAGCACATGGCCATCATACACTCTCTCCCCTTCCATGTCCTGCAGTCCCAGTTCCAAAAGTAACCATATATTAAATGCCACCACAAAGCCTCATTCTGATGTTTCTCTAGTCATCTGGAGAGTCAGGAGCACGTTCTCTGAAAGCTTCCTCAGAAACATATCTTGAGAACTATTTCCCTGAGTTCCTGTATGTTGTTCAGTTTGTCTGTACCTCTTATACCTAAAGGTCAGTTTGCTGGATATAAGATCCCTGGCTAACGTTTCTTTCCTGGAGCATCTTAAATGTGTTACCTCATTTTCTGCTAGCATAAAATACTGCTGTCAAAAAAGGCCTGATAATAATCTGATTTTTCTGTCCTTATAAATCACTTGCCAGTTTTCCTCAATGCCCAATCAGCATTTTCTTTGAAGTGCAATAATTTTACTAGAATGTAGCTTGATGTTGGTCACTCTGGGTTGATATTCTTAGGTGCTCGTTGTGTTTTCCACATACAACTTCAAATACACTCGAGAAGTTTTCTTGAGTTACTCTTGTAAGTGGCTTTTTTCTGTTCCCTGGCTCCATTTTTAATTTTTCCAGAGACCTCAATTATCTTTATGTTAAATCTTTATGTTGAATTGCGTATTCTCCATGTTTTTGTGACTTTCTCTCATCCTTCTTTAAATTACCTTCTTCTCTCTTTTATATTCAACACATTGTCTGTTTCCACCTTTTGTTTCTCTTAAAGCACGCTCTATTGTATTTATTTCTTGTGCTACATTTTTTAAATTTCTAAAACCTCAGTTTTCTTACCTCCATTCTGAAATTTTCTCATTCTGCTTATTATTGTTCTTTCACATTCTGTGTCATATTTTTGCCTTTTAGTTTGTTTTTGGAAAAAGGCTATGTCTATACTTTTCTGTTGCCTGTTTCACCTGAACTTAGTCTCTGAACTTTTAGAAGGAGGCACAGTTCAGGGAAACTTGGCTACTGTCACGGAGCTCCCTCTTCTGTTGCTTTTGAACAGCAGCATGCTTCCTGAGATTTCCGGGTTCTGTGCCCCTCCCAGATTGGGTGAGGCTGAATGGTCCCCCAAAGTTGCCTGTGTCCTAATCCCTGGGACCTGCAAATATGTAAGTCACATAGAAAAATGGAGTCTGCAGGTGTAAGAACACTGATTGACCATAAAATAAAACAAGGGAGAGAGCCAGCAATTATCCATGTAAACCCAACCTAATCCCATGAGCCCTTACAGCACAGGACTTTCTCCACCTGGAGGAAGGAGAGATGAGGTAGAACCAGAGACAAGAGCATGATGACATGTGAGAAGGAGAAGATGAGGAGGGCCAACAGCACAGAATGTTCACAGGCTCCAGAGATAGAGAATGAGTCTTGGGACACACACCAAGGACGTTGGACCCTCAACCACTGGGCTGTGCCATTGACCTGAATGGGTGTGGACGTGGATTCTTCCTAGAACCTTCTGGAAATAGCCCAGACGGCTGATGCCTTGGTTTCAGACTCAGAAGAGGGAACCAGCAGAGACCACCCAGAATTCTGAAGTACAGATCTGTGAGATGATATATTTATGTTGTTTTAAGTTACTAAATCCATGGCAATGTTTTGCAGTACTAACTGAAAACAAACACACCCACTTTCTTTTAATGGAGTTTATTATTTAGAGCAGTTGTGGGCTCACAGGAATGTTGAGCAGAAGGTATATCCCTTGCCCCACTTGTCGACAGCCTCTTCTATCATCAACACCCTCTACCAGAGTGGCACCTTTCTCAGACTAGATGACCCTGCACGGACATACCAATGTCACCCAAAGACCCAGTTTACGTTGGGGTTCTCCTGGCGCGGGGCTTCCTATGACTTTAGACAAATATATAATGACATGTTAGTGTCGTACAGGATGCTTTCACTGCCCAGAAGTCATCTGTACTGCGCCTGTCCATCCCTCCCTGCCCTCCAGCAACCACAGCTCTTTTTATTGTCTCCACAGTCTTGTCTTTTCCAGAATGTCACAGACTTGGAACCATACAGACTGGAGCCTTTTCAGATCAGCTTCTCTGACTTAGTAAAACGCATGTAAGGTTTTTCACGGCTCATCCACTTCCATTTGAACCTTCTTCTTCTTTTCTCTGTCATCTTTGCCATGTTAATTTTAACTCCACTCCTCATTGTGAGCTCTCATCCCGGAAAGAAGCTCTGCAGGCTGAGTTTTGAGACCTCACGGGGTCCAGACTTCTCCTGTGTCTAAGAACCACCGTAAGCCCTGTCCTGGACTCCACCGCCATTTCCGCACCCACTGCTGGCTGTTGTGAGCTGACCTGCCCTGCTCCTCGGAGGCCACGCAGAGTGTCCCTCTGTTTTCTGCAAGACACTGATACCAAGCAGGCCAGGGGGCTGCTGCTGGTTTATCTCATCAGCCTGCATTTTTGTGGTTTGTGGAGATATTCTGTCACCAGTTTATTGCCCACGTGGTCCATCAGTTTTTGGTTTTGCTAAATCGTTGTCTGTGCGAGTTGGAAGACATTAAAAATGCTGCATCTTCTGTTGTCACCATCCTCTCAGAATCCTGCTCCTAATCTAGACATACTTTCGAAAAATTGTTTGTAAAATTATTCTTCAAAATTAGGACACATTTGAGGTCATGTGTAGTGGTTTCTCATTGTATTTTTAGTCTGCTTTTTCATGATGACTATTGATATTGCACACTTTCCTTTGTGTTTATTCCTCATTCTTATGTGTTTTTTGAGGAAGAATCTACTAAAATTTTTTGCTCATTAAAAAAAAAAATTAGGCCACATTTCAATCACCAAGTGGCAGCTCCTCTTGTAAAGAAATTTAGTAGTGTGCTTCTTTGTAAGGACATTTACTTAAAATGTATTTACTTATGTCAAAGGACATCGACTTTGTGAATCTGGGGTGTCTATGAAGCGAGGCCATCTGCATATTACTGACAAGGTGCATCGATTCTGAGAAAATGGCACGTGGTGAAGGCAATAGCCATTCATAGTCAATCACTGAAGTTTCAGGGGGATTGTTCATCTTTGTTCTGCAATTAATTATTGCCTTGAAATACTAAATCATTTTTAAAGCTTCCAGTTACGTCAAAAAACAGCAAGGAATTGTGTGAGTTACATAAGGAGATGAAAAAGTTATTCAAAACTTCTTAGTCCCTCTTAGCAATGAGCTATGCGTAGGTATAAAACTTTCGATTTTCCAGGAAATGCCGAAACAATTATCAGCAGTGGAAATGAGGCAGCGCTGTGGGGCAGACACACGGAAGACTGCCTGGGGCCTCTGCTCTCCAGCTGCAGTGGGAAAGGGTATCTAAGCCGACTCAGAGCAGATGAAGAAACAGAAAATAATGCAGGGTCTAAAGAATAATTTGAGAACTCGGTAGATTTAGGTACTCAAAGCAGTTATCTTTTAAATTTTTATTACTCTTAAAGACATGAAAGGCAAGACATGGTATACTTTACAGTACGTATTTAAATTTTTTATCATATGCATATTTTTCCAAGATTATGTAGTGTTAAAAGTCCACATTGGGGTGCCTGGGTGGCTCAGTCGGTTAAGAGTCTGACTTCGGCTCAGGTCATGATCCCAGGTTTCATGGGTTCAAGTCCCATGTCAGGTTCTGTGCTGACAGCTTGGAGCCTGGAGCCTGGTTTTGATTCTGTGTCTCCCTCTCTCTCTGCCCCTCCCCCACTCAAGCTCTGTCTCTCTCTCTCTCTCAAAAAAAAAAAGTCCACATTTATCTTATACGTCCAGAGCATACTGAAATTGATTCTTGTTTATCTGTGTGTCATACCTAAACATGACTGGGGCAGGTGGAAAGGATGATACAGGGTGAGGGAATTCTTCATGCGTGATCTCTGATCAGAGGCTCCACACATGCCTACTTATGCCAAGGACTGCAAAACACCTTGGAGGATGCTGGCCTGGAGGATGCCTTTTCCAAACACCACTCAGTGCTGGAGAAAACCAGCATTACTCTACTAGTATTCTTCACAATGTAGGAACTAAAAGATCAGAGTATGTCAACATATATGCATGTTTAGCATTGTTGATGACAATGTGTTCTCAAGTGGCCTAGAGTGGGGACCTTAAGCAGAACTCCTCCAAGCAGGATCCACCCCTGTACTTTCTATTATTTTAAAATTTTTAATGTGCCTCAAAGTCTGGGGTATCTGGAAATACCAGGCAACTTTTGGACAACTCAGATTTGGATCAGCAGTTGTCAAAATGTTAACAGTAGAGTGGCTGGTAGATGCTCTATGAGAAGAGAGGACAGATCTCTAGATAAAGATTAAGATAAAGATAAAGATAAAACTGAAATTAGAACCATTATTATATTTAGTTTACTGATTGTCTCCAGTGTCTACTTTCTTGGTCTCTACTGTCCTCACCATTGTAATTCAAGGACACAATCATCTGGGATACAGAGTCAAACAGAAGTGCAGGGTCTGTTGGGCACCAGTCTCAGGCACTCATCTAAATAGGTAATAAATTATCACTGCAACCAACCATAAACTAACTCCTCATGAATGAAAAAAAAAAATGTAAATTGGTCACTGTTTAGTCCCAGTGATGAACACAGTGCTCTTAAATGAAAGTCTAAAAACATATCCTGCTGAGACATCTAGCTCAGTTGGGTAGTTTGCAAGTTTGTCTTGTGTAAATACTGATTTCAACTGGCTGATAATCACTACTAAAACCAGCAGTCACACCCCGCTGATATTCAGAAACCAAATGATGCCTGTAGCATGATTTTTACCTTCAGTGAGTGCTTCATTATCTAAAATTTAAACCTATCATGAGTGTTAAAAAGTAACATTACTAAGAAAAACATAAAACAAAACTGAAGAGAGAACAGTGTCAACTAAAAAGTAGAAATATTTTGCTTTGAGGCCAATGAATAAATTATCCAAACAAATTTCGAACAAGTCTCTATAGCTACATTCTCTAAGCTACCATTATGCTTAGTGAATGTGATATGTGTATAATTATAAATTATTTAAAAAAGGAAATGAAAGATGAACCTAAATAGATTAACTTTCTATGGACATTAGACCTCAATGTAAGAGGTAAATCTTTAAAAGAAAATAAATGAGAAAATATTTGTGACTTTAAATTAGACAAAGATTTCTTAGCATGAAACCATTAAAAATTGATAAACTACACATCATCAAAATTAAAACCTTATGCTCTTTTATAGACACCCAGAAAGTGGACAAGCTACACACAGCAGAAAAATATTTACAAAGCACATATGTGACAAAGAACTTGTGTCCAGAATATATAAAGAACTCCTATAACTCAGTAAGACAAATTCTCCAAAAACTGGGCAAAAAATTTAGAAGACATTTCAACAAAGTAAATATAGAAGTGGCCAATAAGCACATGAAAAAAAAAGCTCAACCTAACTAATAATCAAAAGGATAATTACAAGGATAATTACTAGGACTTATACATTGCTGCTGGAAAATGCAAAATTGTACAGCTACTTTGAAAAGTAATTTGGCAGTTTCTAATAAAGTTAAACATATACCTACCCAATGACTCATCAATCCTACCCCAAGATAAATGAAAACATATGCTCAACAAGTGACTGCATGCAAATATTCAGAGCAATTCTATTCATAATCAAGAGCCAGCTATGACCCAGCAACTGCACTACTAGGTATTTATCCAAGGGATACAGGTGTGCTGTTTTGAAGGGACACAGGTACCTCAATGTTTATAGCAGCACTGTCAACAATAGCCAAAGTATGGAAAGAGCCCAAATGTCCACTGATGGATGAATGGATAAAGAAGATATGGTGTGTGTGTGTGTGTAGATATAGATATAGATATAGATACAGATAGATAGATATAGATATATATATACAATGGAGTATTGCTCGGCAATCAAAAAGAATGAAATCTTGCCATTTGCAACTACTTGGATGGAACTAGAGGGTATTATGCTAAGCGAAATTAGAGAAAGACAAATATATGACTTCACTCATATAAAGACTTTAAGATACAAAACAGATGAACATAAGGGAAGGGAAGCAAAATAATACAAAAACAGGGAGGGGAACAAAACATAAGAGACTCTTAAATATGGAGAACAAACAGAGGGTTACTGAACAGGTTATGGGAGGGGGAATGGTCCAAATGGGTAAGGGGCACTAAGGAATCTACTCCTGAAATCACTGTTGCACTATATGCTAGCTAACTTGGATGTAAATTAAAAAAAAAAATTCAATAAAAAGAAAGAAACCCTGGAAACAACTCAAATGTCCATTAACTAGTGAATAGACAAGTTGGTATATTCATCCAATGAAATGCTACTCATTAATAAAAATAAATGAACTATGTTCAAAAACATTCTGCTGAGCTACAAAGGCCAGAAACAAAAAGTATGTGTGATTCTATTTGTTTGGCAGTCTAAAAAAGGTAAAATTATAGGGACAAAAAAATAGGTCAGTGATTACAGGGTCATGGGATCAAGAGGGGGAAGTGATTGCCAAGAGATAAGAGGGAAATTCTGAAGTGATAAAATGTTCTATATCCTGATTTTGTTGGTAGTTTAATGACTGCATGCATTTGCCAAAACCTATTGAACCATATGCTTAGGGTGAATTTTATTGTATTTAATTTCTAACTCAATAAAAATTTTTCTAAAATTAGATTTCAGGCCAAGTGAATCATTGAGACCCTTTAAAATGCTGTGGGAATTTACTGTTCAATTTATTTACTGAACAATTTATTGTTCAAATATTGCTGCCAATGAACACCTCTCCAATGAACCACACACAGTCATCTTCAACAAATGACATGTTTAGACTTAAGATGAGCAATGTTTGAAGGCAAATCTAATTATTAGCTTGCCTTGATCCCACACATCAATATCCAGTGCCAAAAAGTAATATAGAAAGCAGATATTTGCTCAGTGTCTTCATATTACTTGTGACTTTTTGGACTTTCAAGGAATGGAGTTGGAGTACCAGCAGTCTGCTATATGTACAAACTCTGTCCTATCATTTAACTTACTTTAGGAATTTGTTGGGTTTGATTTGTAAAGATCACCTACTCCTTTAGGTCTGTGACTCCTGTAAGAGTTATGTTTCTGAACAAGAAATAGGTCTGTACTGATATTTATTCACACCCACATCATGTATGTGTACCCATAATATGGCCACCATATTTGAAGAAAAAATTGATATGTTCACAACACACACGGCCTGTGCTTTATAATCCATAAAATAGCTTTCTTGAGGCATCACATCGAATAGTCTGC